GAGCAGGGAGCCCGATGCGGGGCTTAATCCCAGGACCCTGGGATCATGACCTGAGCCGAAGGCAGATGCTTAATGACTGAGCCACCCAGGCGCCCTATAACCATTTTTTAAAGTGAATTTGTAATATTAGTCTCCTGAAAAAGAAATTTCTAAGCCCAGATGGTTTTACTGGAGAATTCTATCAAACATTTAAATAAGAATTGACCCTATTTTCCCACAAATGTCTTTCAGAAAGTAGGAGGGAATACTTCCCAGTTCATTGTATGAGGCAAGTATTATTCTGCTACCAAACCCAGAAAAAGACAGTACAAAAATATATATATAATATAGACTATTATCTCTCATGAAATTAGGTGCAAAAATCCTCAAAAAAATTATCCAATTGATTCCAGCAATGTGTTAAAAAAATTACACACCAGGTCAAAGTGGGATTTAATCCAGGTGTGGTTCAACATTTGAAAGCCAATCAATGCAATTCATCATATCAACAAATTAAAGAAGAAAAATCATAGGATTTTGTCAATTAAGGCAGAAAAACATTTATTAACAAAATTCAACACCCATTTATGATAAAAACTCAGCAACTAGAAATAAGGAATTTCCTTAAATTGATAATCTACACAAAACCTACAATAGCATCTTCTTAACAGTGAATGCTTTCCTTTCAAGATCAGGAACAAGGCCAGGACTTATTCAACATAGCACTGGAAGTTCCAACCACTGCGATAAGAAAAGGTATGTAAAGTGTAGAGGAAAAAATAAAATTGTCCTTATTTACAGATTGTCTGCATAGAAAATCTCAAAGAGAAGACAAAAACAATCCTCAGGTGCCTGGGTGGCTGAGTTGGTTGAGCATCTGACTCTTGGTTTAGGCTCAGGTCATGATCTTGTGATCATGGGATCGAGCCCCACGTAGGGCTCTGCACTTGGCGCAGGGTCTGCCTCAGATTCTCTATCCCTCTCCCTCTGCTCCTCCCCCTACATGCGTGCACTCTCTCTCAAATAAATAAATCTTCAAAACAACAACAACAAAAAACCTCATAGAACCAGGAAGTGAATTCAGCAGGGTTATAGGATAAAAGATCGACATACATAAATGAGTTGCATTTTTATATACTAATAGTGAACATGTGGAAACTGAAATTAAGACACATGCAATTTACAGTTAATGCTCCAAAATGAAATCCTTAAGTATAATTGTAACAAAACATGTATAGAATCAGTATGCTGAAAATTATAAAATACATAAAATTAATTATAAAATACTGATGAAGGAACCTAAAGACCAGTCAAACATACCATGTTCATGGATTGAAAGACTTGTCATAGTAAAGATGCCCCTAATTACTCTATAAGTTTAATGCAATTCCTATCAAAATTCCAGCAGTTTTTTTGATACAGAGATAATAAGGTTATTATAAAATTTATATGGAAAGGCACCAACCCTAGAATAGCTGCAACCATCTTGAAAAAGAAGAATAAAGTGGAACTAATCACTCTGCCTAATATTAAAGCCTACTGCATAGCTACTGTAATGAAGAGGGTGTGATATTGGTGGAGAGATAGATACCTAGGTCAGTGGAACAGGATAGACAACCAAGAAATAGACCCACACAAATACAGTCAACTGATTTTTAACAGAGGAACAAAAGGAATTCAATGGAGGAAAGATAACCTTTTCAACAAATGGAATTGGAACAATTGGACATTCATAGGCAAAACCATGCACCTCAATTTAAACCTCATAGAAATTCAGTCCACGTGGATCATGGACTTAAATGTAAAATGTAAAACTATAAAACTTTTTTAAAATACTGGAGAAAAATCTTTGGGCTCTAGGGCTGACCAAAAACATGATCCCTAAAAGAAAAAAAGTTAGACTTCATCACACAAGGGTATAAACACAAGTTACAGCCTGGGAGAAAATATTTGCAACCCACATATCCAGCAAAGGACTAATATCTGTAGCATAAAAAAAAAACAAAAAACCTTTCAGGATTCCTGACTGGCTCAGTTGGTAGAGCACGTGAGTCTTAATCTCACGGTCGTGAGTTTAAACCCCACTTTAGGTGTGGAGCCTATTTTTTAAAAATTTAAAAATTAAAAAAAAACCCTCAAAACCCAACAGTTAAAAACCAAACAATCCAATTAAAAAATGGGCAAATGACAAGAACAGTCACTTCAGCAAATACAGATGGCAAATAAGCACATGAAAAGATGTTCAACATCATTACCTATTAGGAATATGTAATTTAAACATGTAATGAAATACCAAAATGGCTGAAATAAAAAATGACAACACAAAATGCTGGCAGACATGTGGAGAAATTGGATCACTCAAATATTACTACTGGAAATGTAAAATTGTATGGCTACTTTGGAAAACGGTTTGGCAGTGTCTTATAAAACTAACCATGCAACTACCATACAACCCAGTGATTGCATTCTTAGGCATCTATCCCAGTGATAGGAAAATTTATTTTCATACAAAAACCTGTACACAGTGTTCACAGCAACTTTATTTATAATAGCCAAAATCTGGAAACAATCCAGATTTCCTTTGACAGGTTAAACAAACTGTGATACATCTACACCATGGATACTACAGAGCAATAAAAAGGAACAAGTTATTAATACATGAAACAACTTGGATGAATTTCCAGGAATTATACCAGGTGAAAGAAGCCAATTCTAAAAGGTTACATCCTGTATGATTCCATTTATATAACATTCTTCAAATGTCAGAATTATAGAAATGGAGAACAGTTTAGTAGTTGTGGGGGGGCAGGCTATGGTAATAAAGTATCAGGAAGGATCTTTATGGTGATGGGAATGTTCTCTATTTTGACTATCAATGTTAATATCCTGGATAATATTGTACTACAATTTTTAAAATGTTACCTTTAGGGAAAACTGGGTAAAGGATACACAGGATCAGTCTGTACTATTTCTTACAACTGAACGTGAATCTACAATGATTTTAAAATAAAAGTTGAAAATATAAAAAGTGGCAAATCATTTGGAAAATGGTTTGGCAGTTTCAATGAAGTTAAAAAATTAACCTATCCTATGACCTAGCCATTCTACTCCTGTGTAAATATCCAGGAGTAATGAGTGCATTTGTCCATAAAAAGATTTGTATAAGAATGTTCTTAGTAGCTTTATTCGTAGTAGCTGAAATTTGGAAACAATCCAAATGTCCATATGGAGGAGAATGGATAAACAAATTGTGGTATATTCATACAATGGAATACTTGTTACGAAAAGAAAAGGAACTGATACACACAAAATATGGATGAATCTCACAATCATTAAGCAATGGGAATTGGATACAAAAGAGCACATAGTATATGATTACATTCAGGAAGCTCAAGAACAGGCAAATGCATTGATTATGGTAGAAGGTAGAACACTGTGTACTGGTAACGGGGGCTGGTATCAACTGGAAAGAAACTTGAGGGAACTTTCTGGAGTGACAGAAATGTGGCTACACAGGTATAGATATAATGTTAAAATTTATTGAGGTCTATGCATTCTATGTTAATTATATCTTAAACTTTATTTATTTACTGTAGAACAAATCTCTGTTCATTGGGGCAAAAGACATGTCAACTGATCCCACTGTGTAGACTTTATTTGAATCCTCTCTTAGACAAGCTATAGAGAAACCTATTTATGGCACTTAGGAAAAATTGGAAAGATGAGTTTATAATTGATGACATTAGGGAGTTGTGAAGTTTCTAAGTATAAAATAATAATTATTATGTTAAAGAGTTTTTGTCATTTAGAGAGATATACTGAAAAAAGTGATATAGCTGGGATTTGCTTCACAATAAAACAGATGAGGAGTGGGAGGATATAAATGAAACAAGACTGGCCATGCATTGATTTGTTTAACCTGCACGACTGGATTAATTATCATCTATTTTTTAACTCCATGATTTAAAAAAGTTTTAAAATATGAATAAAAGTTACACACAGGTAGCTTTATTATTACCAGTAAAACAGAAAAATTGGCTTCTGAGATAGTGTGCTCTAGGATGCTCAAGGGCTGATAGGGACAGTTAATGCCTCAAACAGAATCTTGCTTGCCTGCACCAGCTGTCTTCATCAAGGAGTGAGGATCTCCAAGGGTAGAAAACCACCCTATACACAGTGGACACCGAGTGTATAGCTAACTTATATTTGAGTTCTTTCAATTAAATGTGTTTATGTTAGCACATACAGACACATTATATCTCCATAAATTGTCCACCTACTTTAGCAAAATGAAGCACTGGGATCAATTATTTTTTTCAACTTTCATGTGCTCTCCTGTTTTCTCTAAGGACCTGATGTTATTTTATGAGGATGATCCGAAGCCACTTTTGCCGACAATTCCTCCTTCCAATATCTCGTCAACTAAATGGTTATCAGAAGGGCCAGCAGACGTTTGTAACCTCTGGGATGCAGGTAAATTGGTTAAAGAATAGAAAGGTTACTCAGAAACATGAATAAGAAACATTAGGCAGGAATTGCTTTACATCAGATTTTATTTTGTGAAATATGGCAGCAATGGTTTTAATTTAACTTTGATAATGAGGGATGGGACCAGCATGGATGAATTTAACCCACACATGATCCTGTGATCTTATTTTACCATTTGTTTCAGTGGGGTTTCATTCCCTCTATTTTGCTTTTTTTTTCTTTTTCATTGTTTCAAAAATTATTAACTGCAAACCTCGAATCTCTTATGCATGGTTTAAAATGCAGAAAAATAAGAGTTCTTTTTTTCATTTGTACTAACTTCTCTTTGATAAAGAGTTTAAATTAGACATTTTTCATAAGCAAGCATTAGACCAAAATGTGAAAAGCAAGATGTACGGCATCCCACAAATTGGCTAATCACCTCTTGAGTAATTAACATTAGAGAAAGCACAGTATAAAATGACACAACCTGGCCTCCAATAAATTACACTATCCAATTCCAACTGGGCTCTGCTGCTACTCAAGATCTGATTGATTCACAGTGGAGCCACTCCATACTGTCCCTATTCTAAAGAAACTCTCAATTTTTAATACATTCTTCCTCTTACTTTTCTCAAAAAATAGGACTCAGGACCCTCTGCCAAGAGGAGAATGAAACATTATCATTAGTATCTTTCATCCCTTCATTTATCTTTGCTTTTATATTCATCCAAGCATCCTTTCCCTCACTGCAGAGGTGGCTCCTTATGTTGTGTTTCATCTTCTCCCTCATCTTTGGGCCACGTACTGTGATTTTCTCCTTATATAGATCCCCAGTATCCAAAATATAAAAACTGTAGTTGATTAGAACAGATTTATTTTACAGATTCACATTTATATAATTTTCTTATAAACTAGTCATGAGAATGATGATGAGGACATTTCAATAAACACAGAACATGAAGTTGTGGGTTATGGTGATATTTGTAGTACAAGGATGGTATTACTCACATGGATAATTAGTTGTAAGTGGTTACCATTTTTAAGACAGCTTGCTCTGTATTCTTAGAATACACTTGATATAAACTGATCCAGATCCAGAAGCTTGAAAGAAGAATGGTAAGGAAAACGTTTTTTGATCTAATGTCCCCTCATATTCCCCCCCAACCTTTTTGAAGTAGACTTCCACTTTTTAAAGCATTTTTAGCTTCACAGTAAAATTGAATGTAAGGTACAGAGATTTTCCCACATACCCCTGCTCCCAAACAAGCACAGCTTCCCCACTACCACCACCTCACATTTGTTGCGATCAGCAAACCTACATTAACGCTTTATCATCACCCAAGGACCATAGTTTACATTAGGGGTCATTCTTGGTGTTGTGTATTCTTTGGGTTTGGACGAATGTATAAAGACATGTATCCACCACTACAGTATCATACGAGTATTTCACTGCCCTGCAAAACTTCTGTGCTCTGCCTGCCATTCCTCCCTTCCTCCTAACCCCTGGCAACCACTGATATTTTAACTGTCTCCATAGTTTTGCCTTTTCTAGAAAGTCATATAGTTGGACTCATACAGGATATAGCCTTTTCAGACTGTCTTCTTTTATTCAGCAGCGTGCATTTAAGGCTCCTCCATATCTTTTCATGTCTTGATAGCCCGTTTCTTTTTAGTGCTGAATAGGATATGCTAGGGTATTTATCCATCCACCTGCTGAAGAACATCTTCGTTGTGTCTAAGTTTGGGCATTTATAAATAAAGCTGCTGTAAATATCCATGTGCACGTTTTTGTGTGGAAATAAGTTTCCCCTGCCAACATTATAATACAAGTGAGATGGAGTATAAATGAGCCTAAGAGGCAGCCCTTAAGAGGAAAAAAGTCACAAAACATGTCAAGTGAGGGATGATTCCACCATGTTACTTGGTTGGAACTCATCATAATTGGAGGAGCTTTTCTTATTTTTGAGTCTTCCTTTTCTCCCATCTTTACTTCACACCAATCTCAGAGATATCTTGCTCAAGTGCAGTTCTAAGCATTTCCCTTCCCAGCTTAAAAACTTTCCACAGTTTTCCACTGCCAGTAGGATGTCTAATTTTTTTGGACATATGAGACTGTCATAAGAGACTTTTCATGGCCTGGTCCCAGCCAACCTTTGTGACCTCATCACCCAGTACTAACAATATTCACAATGCTCTGCAACGTTCTATTACTTATATAGTTTCTTCTCCTTTGAAAGTCTTTGTTCCAGTTACTTCGGCTGTGCAACACATTGCTCTAAAACTTTGTAGCATAAAATAACCATTTATTCTGCTCATGGATTCTCTGGGTCAGGAATTAGGACAGGGCACAGTGGGGATGACTTATCTCTGCCCCATGACGTATGTTTGGGCCTCAGCCCGAGAACACAAAGGCTGGGGACGGGAATCATCTGAAGGCGTGTTCACTCATGTGTCTGGTAGTTGGTGCCCACTGTCGGTTGGGGGCCTCAGTTTTTCTCCACATGGGCCTCTTCTTGTGGTCTCTCCACATGGGGTAGTTTGGGCTTTCTCACAGCATGGTGGCTGCGTTCCAAGGGTGAGCATCCTGTAAAAGAAAGGACTAGGCATAAGCTGAATAATCTCAGAAAATCATGCTGTGATACTTCCTTCCCATTCAGTTCATCACAGCAATCACAAAATCTTGCCCACGTTCAAGGGGAGGGAATGTAGACCCCCACCCTCTTTGGACAAGTGTCAATGTCCACAGGATGGTGTGTGTGTTAGTACAGTCATCTTTGGAAAATACAGTCTGCCACAATCCTCCACCAAATTATGGATGCTTGACAAAATCCTATTTAAACAGTGAGGCCCAGCTCAAATGTCACTATGCTATAAAATCTCTACATACCAATTTTTCTTTTCACTGTGTTCCCATGGGACTTTGCCTATAACCTTAGATACAAATTTATAGTTGTGTATCATTTTATAAGTTTTATCTATTTTTAATTAGATAAATAATAAGTGAATGTATTCTTATTTTTTAAAATTCAAGCAATATAGAGTCAAAATCCTCCTTGACTGTCCCTCACCCCAACACAGTTCCCTCTCCAGAGTTAACTGTTATTATCAATTTGTTGGTTACTCTCCAGGTCTTTCTCTGTGCATTTATATTTATACCTGTACCTTTAAAAGTATGGAGAACTGACTTTATTTTGATTTAGAATGTTGTTCTGTATTTTTCTGGAACTTTTTAAAGCAATATCACTTGGCGATCCTTCAGTGTATGTCAATATTTAGAGATTTACCACATATTTTTTTAACTCCTACATTGCCTGGATATTATAGTTTATTTCCCTGCTAATAGACAGTTGGTGTTTTATATTTTTCACTATTACAAATGATGCTTCAGTGAATAGCTCTGTGCACATATGTGGGTGTTTCTTTAGGGTGGATTCCTAGAAATGGAATCCCTGGGTCATAATGTATGCCCATTTTCATTTTAGTTAATACTGCCAAATAGCCCCTCAAAATATCAATACCAATTTACACTGGCTTGCAGTTTATAAGAGCACTTATTCACTCATAACCTCACTGGCACTTGATATTTTTCAAGTCTTATATTTTTATCACTTGGAAAAGGTTGCATTGCGTGGTAGGTATAATTTGCATATCTCCATGTATTTCCTCTTCTGTGCATTGCCTGCTTATATCCTTACTCTGTTTTTCTTTTGGATTGTGTGTTGTATTCAATTAAATTAAGTGACTTTGTAACATTTTTATATATGTTGTTAACCTTAAGAATAAAACCTGCCAGTTATTTTACCAGCAAAAGATGGGGTTATTTGGGAATAAAAGAATTGCAATCCAGGATAAACAAGTGGTGGCAAAACATAGGCAAGTCCAAGGAACAAAGGAGAGGTACACTTTCTTAAGGAGAAAAGGGGTAGTTGGGAAGGCTGTTAAAAGCTAAAAAGTCCATTGGAGTAAACTGAGAGTTACAAGTGTAGGGGCTTCTCATTGGCTGAGCTGTTGTTGGAGGGGAGGGGGATAAGGAAAGCGTCTCTTCCTCCACCTAAATGGTAGAGTAATGTGCACATGCAAGATCAACTCGGACTCTTCTGTTGCACCTGCAACTGACTGGAGTGGTAGGGTGTGAGAGCTCCCTGGGGAAACCTCCAGACTCCGTTTTAGTGAGGGTTCCCCGTTACTAATTTCCAGTTACTAATCCTTTCTGTTATTTATGTTGCAAATATCATCTTCTAGGCTATGAATTGTCTTTCAGATTTCTTTATAGAAGATTTTTGTTTTGTTGTTTTTGTAGAAGTTTTATGTTTTATGTAGTCATATGTATTATTATTTCCCTCCAGAGCTTTTGTTTTTTGTAAATTTATTTTATATTGAAGTATAATTAACATACAGTGTTATATAAGTTTCAGGTGTACAATATAATGATCCAACAATTCTGTACACTACTCAGTAGTGCTCATCACGATAAGTATAGTCCTTCTGTCACCGGACAACATTATTACAATGTTATTGACTATATTTCCTGTGCTGTACTATTCATCTCAGTGACTTATTTGTTTTATAACTAGAGGTCTGTACCTCTTAATGCCCTTTATCTATTCCATCCCCCTACCCACCTCCCCTCTGGAAGCCACCAGTTAGTTCTCTGTATTTAAGAGTCTGTTTTTTGTTTGTTTGTTTGTCACTGTTTCTTTCTTTGTTCCTTTGTTTCGTTTCTTAGATTCCACATATGAGTTAAATCATATGGTATTTGTCTTTTTTGGTCTAACTTTCCAAAGAAGGCACACAGATGGCCAACAGACACATGAAAAGATGCTCAACATCAGTAATCATCAGGGAAATGCAAATCAAAATCACAATGAGATATCGCTTCACACCTGTCAGATGGCTAGAATAAAAAAGGCAAGAAATAACAAGTGTTGGCAAGGATGTGGAGAAAAAGGAATCCATGTGCACTGTTGGTGGGAATGTAAATTGGCGCAGCCACTGTGGAAAAC